CATGATGCGTGGCACCATGCCGAACTGGCGCAGCGTGGTGGCTAGGTTGGCGTCCAGGAACGAGGCCCTGCGACCGGCGACAGCTGGTCACTTGTCAGTTGTCAGTTCTCGGTTGTCACTCACCAGTTGTCACAGATGCATGACACGGGCGCAGTGCGCTCCCGTCCCATCAGTTTCCGCAAGGAGCGCTACCTACAGGGGCTGTCAACGAACAGGAGTAACGACGCGTATCTGTTCATGCACCTGGCACACCATGAAAAAGGACACACACTATCAGCATTCTCAGCCTGGTGTGTCCAACCAGGAATGTTAGCAGGATTTCGTGAAGGGGACATATTTGGAGATGCCCTAAAGCCGGGGGGGGGGGGGGGCTTGACATCCCTACGTCGCACGCAGATTTGCTTTCTTCATCTTGTTTGGCCCCTTTTTCACAGGGACAAGTAAACATTTGCCGGACCATGAACTCCAGTTGCCCGAGAAAACCTCGTAGAGGTGTTACAATATTATTCAATCTCGTGTCTTCGAGATGGAATCCATCAGTTATCAATTTGGGCACTCTTCGAGTGCCTGGAGGGACATGCAGCCCCAACTACTCAAGAGGTACGGTCCCTTTGCCCCCTCCCCCCTCCCATTTGGCTGCGTCTTCACACCAACGTCTGTTAAAAGGGTCTTCGTCTGCTAGTTGTTTATTGGAAGATCCTGGTTCTTTTGACCGCTTTGTTACGTCAGCTTTTCTAACATTCTCCATTCCCATACCGGTGAACCTCCAAAAATGAAAATGAATCAATGTACGGACGAATGAATGAATGGATGAATGAATGACAGCGCAAAGCTCACGGCGGTCATAGCAGCCACACGCAGTGCTCCAGCGGTCCCAGCCGGCTCTCACCCCGTCAGCGGCGACTGCTGACTGGCGCGCTCCAGGGGTCCTCCCGACCCTCCCCTGGCCCGTGCGCCACGCAAACACGTCCCGAAGACCGCGCATAACGCGACCTGGATACACCGCCGGGTAAAACACCCATTCCCCCGGCGGACGGGTCACGACCCGGACCGGAGATGAACGGATTGCCGTCCGTCCCGTTTGTCGGGCGGGCGCCCCGACAGGGGTCAGCGGACCGCTTCCGGGACGGGGGCGGCCGCGGCCCGCCGCAGGACCGGGGCCGGTGCTGTGGAGCGCCGCCGGTAGTGCCGCCAGACGCCGTGATAGCACGGGGTTCAGATCGGAGCGAGGGGTTGATGACCAGCCTGGCATGGAGGGAGCGTGGTAGGTATGCTGGCTTGGAGACGCGCGGAGTCGATGTGGCTTTCAAACGCGGTGGTAATTGTGCCAGCCCAAGGGGTTAGTTGGAGGCAGGCAAGTGCAGAACTTGGGAACTTGGTCAGGTTTGGGCGTAAGGCAGACCGCAGGTCATTGTAAATACTCGAAAGCGCCTCTAACGTTGAAAGTCGGTCACGCCTGTCACTGCCAGCAACAATCGGGTATGTAGCGGGTTAAGACATTTTGAAGCGAACTGACAACATGTGTCGCCACGTGTGGACGCAGGGTCGCTAAGAGGTCGTCAGCCATTACGCCGTGCCATCCATGAATGTTGGAGAAATAAGTGACGGGTCAGATCGATTCGGAGTCCGCAGAATCTATTCCGACTCGAATTGACTCTGGTGGGATCGATTCCGACGCAGGCTAACAATGCGTGACAAGTTGCTTCGTGGACCGCAAACGATAGGCAACGCATAATTTTCGTCTACTCTGATTTCATTCCAAGATGCGACTTTATACTACAGCGGCTTTCTTTCGAATCAATGACGTTACTACGGGTCCAGGATCTAGATTAGGCAATGACACCTTGATGATGGGTTTCCTACAGACCATTGACAATGTATTCGCATTGCCGTTTCAGACGGGGCACATAAAGTCTTCAAGCTATTGCGCATGGAAGGTATCATGCGTGTGTCAGAATTTGAGCTGAGAATCTGCAGTTTTTTGGAAGTCAAAGGAAGACATTTGTATTCAGACAAATCCGGTTTCCTATCTTTCGTCAGAACGCGACTATATATTCATACACAAATTCATGGGATTTAATATTTACATCGACTTATCAGTGACCGGGCTCACTACAGTGACCGGCTCACAGTGACCGGGCTCACTGCTACTCACTACACTACGTTCAGGGAAATCAATTTTACCGCATTTAAGAAGGTTTCTGTCCATTCAGGAATCGAAATCCAAACCACTGGGAGACAGCCACAAGTTTGGAGCCAGCTGCACCTCAGCTCATCACATATTAAGTCATTGGAAACCTTAACGAAGGTGCTCATGGGGCAGCGGATCGCTTAGCCGATGCTGTGTTTAAGGTCCTATGGCAGTGTCTCTGCGATTAGGGGGAGGATGTAACGCTTCACGTTAGGTTCCACGTTCTTCTTCTTACAATCCATCCAACAGAGAGAAGGGTCACTTGTATTTAGGCCACAACAATAGCCAGGCTCGCTCGTGTTGTAACAAACGAGTACGAAACCCGGCCCTGTCGTGGCACGGACCTCGTCTGCTCATGCGCAGTGCGCGTCAGCTTATATAATACGCCGAGTGGTGTTGCCAGGCGACATTTGCACTCGAACGGGCTGTCTCGAGAACGCTCCAGCGCGGCCCACGATAACAATGCGGCATCGAGTGCGCGGGCTACCAAACTGAGCATGACCGGCTCACAATAGCCAATATTGCCGTGGTTTGGAAAATTCAACGGGTACCATTACTGTGGAGAGACAAAAGATAGACTATGTCCAGCAGAAGAATCAGTGAGCGGGCACATACAAAACAAGCGGACGCACGAAGGAAAAGAACTGGAAGTAGCCGTTGCTAGGGGAAGACAAAAATCTGCTATTTAATTACCTATAGGCACGCCAAAATTTGGCGCGGCTTTACTGCGTGCTTTGGAAATAATTCTAGAACAACCTTCTGGTACAACCTCTGAACCCCACGCAAGCGCGTGTTATGTTACGGTTTTGCGTGGATCGGAGCAGTACGTGAAAATGTCAGTCTGAATTTGGCGATGTGCCACATTTCGTTGTTCAACTTTGTCATGGTATTAACAATGATAACAACATAATCTTTATCAACAATGCTCAAAAATACTCAGTTGTGTTCAATAACTCATCATGAACAACTCACAATGATCAATATCTGCGTGGGATGAAGCTAAAAGCAAACTGCTTGAAACAGAAGCCTAGAAATGCGCTGCAAACACGACAGTGAGGATGAATTTGCTGTAACAGTGGTGTACGTCAGCTAGAGCGGCCGATAGTCTTGTAGCCGCATGACACCGTTAAGGCCTTTCATGCTATTTGGATAAGAGATTGATATTAACTGGATCTGTTGAAGGCATAATGCAAAAATGGGATGGTAGGTTAAAGTGCTATCAAAAGGGTGTGTTCAGCACGGAGGCTGTTCAAAAATCTTTCTAGGCAGAATGTCGTTTCCTGTACAGTTTCTCGCCTTGTAACTGAACTGGACCCATAATCTGAAGTATGGACGCTGCGCCAACATCAAAGTAGAAATGCAACCCAATGTTTTTGTCTTACGAGATCTTACAACAGTCAATAAGTGGCGTCAATATCATGCTTAGTTACAGCAAAAAAGCGCCTGGGCTTACATTTGATGGACAAAAAGCCAAACTACAAATGGTTCACACCAATTTCTAAAGCTGATCCTCGATTGAGGACATCACGTTGAGGTTGCGGCTTCAAGTTTCCCACCTGCTTACTCCATGACAATGCCACTACGAGTAAGGATCAAAGAAATGGTCTTTGGTTAATGGCCGATCCTTTCCTACATTTTTTTTGGGTAATATGCCACCCAAAAATATGGTGGGGGCCCAAAACAGCATTGGTGGGGGGGGGGACCTCACAAAATAATACAAATCGACACCCGTGTAAGCTGGGATGATATCAAATCCTAGGTATTTTCCCCACACTTGTTACATTGACAATAATATGAAAAATAATACTCGAAGGATGCTCGCCTGAACGCGTGTTTCAGCTCCTTGATCGGCTGGCTGGCGTGGCGAGCATTGCCACTGAAGAGTACCACGGCAGCAGGCGGGCGGCGCTGAGCGAGCGACACCAGCGTAACGTCTGGCACAGCTTGAGGAGGAAGGTCTCACTTGTTCCCCATTCCATGTCATTCGTCGGTCCGTCCCCTACATGCACTGCGCGGTAAATGGACAGCCTGCACCACACGTGAGAAATCGCTCTGATCTGCAGTAAAATCAGGGTGTCCCACTTGATAGGATGGGGGCGTGGGCAGTTTTCCTCTTATCAACCCCATGCAACGCCTGAATGCTAATGACTTATGGGTTTCGGGATTCAAAGGGTCAATGGAAGGCCTAGTGCCATTCTCACCTCAATCCAGCACAGGAATTGTCGGTGAAAGCCTCAGAATTCCCCCCCCCCCCCTCCCACCCGACACAACGGCCACATTACTTTGTTCGTGCTGCCGTGTGCCGCGTATTCCATTAGATGGCTGCCCACTTCATTCAGCCATAGTTAAAAGACAACGGGGAATGATAAGCTTCACACCAGCCGATCAGCACGGAAGCTGTACTTGCTCGGTCACCAAACATGGACAATGCGCGCGTGTTGAGTACAGCCTCAGCAGCTGAGTGCGTCGTGAAGCCCCAACGACACGAGTACGTACCAGCGCCACGAAGCGGAGCGGCTACAACCATCAGTACCAAGCTACACCGCGAGATGACTCTGTCACGGAGCGCCGCCACTCACAGCGTCTGGCCCTCGCCGATGTCGTCCTCGAGCATGTGGGCGAACACGAGCCGCACGCCGGACCGTCGCAGCTGGGCGGCCACGTCAGCCAGGTCACGCTCGTTGGTGCCGGGCACGAATTGGCTGTAGAGCGGGCTGATCAGCCTGTGAAGAAGTCGCTCCCCCAGCAGGCGCTCGCTCCGCCGCAGGATCTGGGCCGGCAGGCGGGGCCGGTAAGAGCGGGCCGCCCACGCCGCAGCCCTGCTGCCAGGCGCGCTGGTGGCCAGGGGTGACGGCACGGACGCTCAGATCACATGCGGTCGGAGGCACGATGGACAACGCGGTCTGAAGGGTGGATATGTCAGTGATCTAGTGGGCACACGGACTGCCATTCCTTTTAACGACATTTTGAGTACCTGCGGTTAATTTAAGATTAACTTTTCTTGACGGCGATTACATCTGGCAAATAGACTAAATAAGCGCTAGGTCTTAGTAACTTCACTTTGACAGTGTGATTTAAAAGTAAAGATGCATTTCCAAAGTCCCACCAAACAGCTGGCATTCATGACCGACGGCCGTAAGACTCCTCGCTGCCATCATAAAACATTAGAGGTTTATACGGTCGTCACTATACTTAACGAAAACGAGACCAGACGAAGGATATCAACTGGGAGATCCAGACCAGACACAGAGAAAACACGGCTATCATTTTCCCTTGGCATGCGCTCCGGTGTTGCTGGTACGTCTTGAAAATTTTTGTTGTTGGAAATGTTTTGTCTGTTGACAAATTTTCAGTGGACGTTGGCAGCTTTTCTTGGTGATGGTTGTTTAGCCACCTACGCAACTGCGTTCAGGTCTTGCAATCCCTTCAGTTTTCTCTTGAAAGCCTGATTCGCTGGGTGAGCGCTGAGAAAGCAGGCGTGGTTGATTTGTTCACTCTTCGCTGTTCTTATTGTCGAGTCAGTCACACATTTTGGTCTTTACCACCCTGACATTCCCGTCCGGGGCATTCTGAATGCGTGGGTTGTATGCAGAGGGGCTGAGGTCTCCCTTCAAAATGCTCTGATCTGTCATCTTCGACATTCGAAGCTCCTGAGCACGTCGACGACATGAGTCTTGTGGTAAACCGCCGCAGAGATCTTGACCAAATCGATGTTGTCCTTGGACCGAGACGATCGCCTGCCGACTCTGGGAAGATCGAGCCCATGCCCATGGTCCTGAATCTCCGCATCAAACCCAGAACGCATCCCCTGGTCGGGGCGCTGCGTTTTCAATCCATGTGCAGTTGAGCCTGTATGAGTATTTCTGCCGTGTAAAGGTAGAATCCCATATGTTGATTTCTGGCCATTTTGCGTGTTTTAGTGTTTGATTCGTCTATTCACGCCGAATGCGGTTATTTAAACCATCAGTTGAGGGTTTCACAAACTTTTAGCCTTCCTTTTAGCTAAAAGTTTGTGAAAATTTCAACTATTGGTTAAAATACCCGAATTCAGCATGAGCAGACGAGTCAGATGACATACAAAAACGCAAAATGACCAGAAATGAACATAAGGGTTTTACCTTTGGACAGCAGGTTTACGCTCCTGCTTCAGGAATGCGCCAACATGCGAACTCGCCGCACACACCAGCGCAGGACAAACGTTGCGGGTCAGTCGAGCTGGACTGAAATTAGCACTAACCGCCAGCACGACCGGTAAAAACAGCACTCAACGCACCACTCCCACCAGGCAAGGATACAACCTGACCGTGGCGTAAGGAATACCGACAGGCGCATGGCTGATACAGACAGGGACGGGCTGGGCTGCCGGCCGAGGCGCATGGAAGCGAGGAGGGGTATAATCTGCGCACCGCAAGCACGTAGGAGCTCTCACGTGCTAACGTGGGTGGCGTCTTCCGTCAGCCTGTCTTTGACTGTCTTCGCTCTTTCATCTGAAGGCTGTATGCATGCGAAAGAATGCGTCAACACGGTGCAAGCCACTTTGTCTAGTTGTCTTCTTCCGTCTGAAGTTGGGCATTCATTTTCAGGACATCCGTATGCAGTGGGCAGCCAAGGGGAGCTTTTGGGGCTATGCCCCCCTAGAGGTGGGGTGGCGGGATCTCTGAAGTCCGGAGGCCCCGCTTCTTTTTGCAGGTTGAACCGCCCGAGGTGGTTCTCAAGTCATTAAAATTAGGAGACAATCATAATGGGACGTTGAGCCTAAAAACATCCTCCGAATGAAAGAAACAGAACCCCTATAGCGACGAATAAGGAGCCCCTTGGCTAAAAGGGCCCTGAATTCCGGTTTGACTGCCTCCTGGGTTAAATCCGGGCTAGGCCACTGTCCATAAGCAGCTGAAGCCTGCTCTTTTGCAGCGCAACCAGTGCAATTGCAATGTGACCAATATTGGAGTGAACCGCTTCTTATAAAGGCATACGCCATAGACAAGGCAGCTCTTGTGCATCCGAACATGGTAATGCATCATTCATCGCGTTAGATTTCTGGAGTCATTAAGACGCTCAGGTCACACGAGAGCACGTGATCTACGTGGCTCCGCACGTGCCTGTATGCACGCCAGAAGTTTTCGCCTCAGGCGGTCACGCGCGCCAAACCACTCGCCACGTACCGCCAGTGAGTTGTCGACGAACCAGTCCAGCGAGCAGAGCTTGAGCACGGCCAGGGCGCGCACCAGCTCCGGCATCGACTTGCTATCGAACACCTGCTTGGGGTCGTGGAAGTCCAGCGTCGGCGGGTCCGCCAGTTGGGCGGCCGGCGCCGTCTGCAGCTGCCGCCGCCGGACCAGCTGCAGCTGCCGGCGCGGCCGGGTCAGCCCACGCACCGCTGCGGTTCTCGCGGCCGCGAACATCGCGCCCAGCGCGGGTCACTCGGGTCACGCGGCCGCCGCCTCGCACGCGCTGCGACTGACGGGCGTCCGAGGCGTCGCGAGCCGCGCGGGACAGAACAGGCCACGGTACTGGACGCGGCGATGGGCGGCCTTGGCCGTCCACCGGAGGCCGCGGGTGGACGCGCAGAGATCGAACCGGTTTAAACCGGCTCAAGCCCCGGTGGCACCGCGGTCGCCACCAGTGGCAGCGTAAACACTGGGTCACCACCGCTGGCTCTCACCACCCCGCCCCGCCAGCCCCTGGCATCGATCCAGATCACGTGACCCACCGACTGGCCAGCTACGGCGCCGCGGTGGGCCGACAGCCAACGCGTACGATGTCTGTGCTCACGTCGTGCAACACTCCGCAATTCGAAGGTTCGTGTATTGCGTTAGCATGCCACAGGCACACGCACACTCCATCCTCAAGTTACACTTGAGAATCGCTAGTCACTACCGCTCGGCCAATATGGATGAACTAAATGAATTGTATCGCACCCTTGTATAAGCACAGTCCATTCGTAATGCATGGCGGCACCGATCGCCGGCCGCCGTCACAGCGGTCACCACCAGCGGCGACCCCGGTCGCCGGACCACAGCCAGTGGCCGCTCGGTCCGAGCGCTGTCGGTCCCCAGACCCGTACGGCGCGTCACCAGCCACCCGAGGCCTCGCCGCGGCGGCGGGCGGCGGCGGGCGGTGGCGGCGTGGCCGCCTCGGGCGCCGACTCCGCCCGGCGCGGCCGACAGCAGACGCGCCGGTCGGCCGGCCGTCAGTGGCCGCCGCCCGGCTGGTGGTCCGTCTCCAGTATGACGGCGCCCTGACTCTTGAGGTGCGCCTTGAGCAGCTGGTTGGCCGTCACCAGCGCCTCGTTACTCTGCTTGAGCATCTTGATGTCCTCCAGCAGCTTCTCGTTGTCGCGCACCAGCTCCATGTACTTCTGCTGCATGCCGCGCGTGTCCTGCACGTAGTCGCACGCCTGCGACAACACGGCGCCTTTGCTCTGGAACCGGAGAGTGCGCGTCAGGCGGACGGTCTCAGACGCTCCAGACACTCCAGACACTCAGACAATCGAAGCTCCAGCTCATAACTGGAGAACAACGCTAACCACCTGACGGTGCGTCGGAGGGGAGCGCTTTTGACACCCAAACCGCGAGCGTCACCCAGCGAAATACACCAAGCTCGGAGCACCCGCACTGAGGTCACGTAAGCATTCGACGACGTGCGAAGTATACACTTGCCATTCCTTAAGCCCACGGCTGCACAAACAATGACCGGCCGTAGCACCCCAGCTAAACATCCGACGCCGCAGCATCGGCCAGGCACCTCGACGTGCCCACCGTGGCCCGACTGGCGGCGAGCGGTGACCAAGTGCTCAAGTTCGGTCTCATGCGTCCCACACGTTATTTTTCAGCGGACATGCGACACGCGGGCATTCCGAAAAGCATTGTTTCGGTGGATGATGATGGCGATTTGGGGTTTTAGGGCGCATCGACCGCTGTAGGTCATGCAGCGCCCAATTGTTTCGGGGGAGTTATGTCTCACTTGCACAAGTAGTATGCACGCCCCTCGTTCACGTGCACAGCAAAATACGAGCATCCCGCCCAAAGGCACGCATTAAAACAAACGGGAATAAGTTTATCTTAAAACACCCCCAACAAACATGAGAATTTATGCCGAAATAAAAGTCCACAGCGAGCATGCCTCGTTCATCTATTAGGCCCTTCCTAACTGTCTGACGCCGGCCTGACCGGGTGGGCTCCATCTGTGTGACTACTTCCTTCTCTGGTTCCCGCCTTCGTGATCAGTGATCTCACTGGGTCACCCGTCCTTGTGCTCCTTAACCTACCCCAGGTCCTACAGCTGAGCGACTGCTGATCAAATTACAACACTGTGACCAGTGACCCCCCCCCCCCCCCGAGGTCTCCCGTTATGCTCTCCGTGACGTCCAACAGGTCGCCGATCAGTGCGACCTGATCCCTCCCGCAAATTTCCATCTATACAGCCCGCGACCTCCCGCGGGTCACCGCGTGATCTCTGACCTCCCCTGGCTCGCCCGTCTGTTCGACCAGGCCATGACCCGACACCCCGCTGGCCCGGCCGCCGAAGATCTGCAACCTCACCCCGCACACCTGGTTCTGCTTGCCGGGGTCCCCGGTCTCGGGCAGCAGCTTGCCCAGCTTCGTGATCCAGCTGTTGATCTTGTCGCGCCGCCGCCGCTCCACCTCGTTGTGCGTGGCGCGCCGCCGGTCGTCCCTGTGCACCTCGCAGCGGCCGGGCCCGCGAGCCGGTCCGCCTCCCAGGCCCACGTCCTGCGGCCCGCTTATCACATAGAAGCCGCCTGCAACGGGCGCGCCGAACGGCCGGTGAGACGAACGCCGAGGTGGCGCCGGACGCTCGGCGGCCGCTGTGCGACTGAACGGCGGATGTGTGAGGGCAGGGGCCGGCCTGGCGGCGTGACACACACGCACAGCGCGGGCAGGGGCGGGTGTCACTGGTGACATCAGGACCGCAGCCGTCGTGCAGACAGCGTCACAGCCGGCCGGCAGCGGCAGAGCAGCGGGCGGCGCCAGCCACGCAGGCGCAGGGTGCCGCCGGAGCCGATGACACCACACACAGCGCCAGGCCGACTGCCGCGGCACCGCCGGCCAGCAGTCTCGCGTCGCACCCGTCCCTGGTGTTACAGTCGAGGCATCGTCGGTCGTCGAACGTCGATCGGGACACCGTCCGGATAATGACTGAGCCGTGAGGCCCTCTCGGCCGCCGCCCACTCCCAGGTCCGCTCGGCCACGAGGCAACAACGCGGGAACAGCCGAGCGAAGTTCAGCTGCAGGAATGCACACTGCGGCCTTGCCCAGCGGGCCGGTCACCAGGAGCACTGGCGCTATCGTCACCCAGCTGGCTCTCTTGATTTAGCGACGGGGGGAGGGATGGGGGGGGGGGGAGTGAGGTGTTACGGGAAGAAAACCTTAACACAGCTTGGAAAGTAGTCACACGTATGCACGCAATCCAATCGCGGCTATCGCACCGTCACAGCAGCGCCGTTGGTAGAACAATAATTGCCGGCTGCGAAAAGCACTTACATGGCCGAATCGACGCTAACGAACTAAAATCTTCGCATCAGAAAACCGGTTTAAATGGAAGTGTCTCCAGACGGTTTGACAGAAGCGCAAACCAGAAGTCACGCTTTCCCATCCGTCGCCCAGACGGCGCCAGCAGTCACCAACGGCGTCTCCCCTCCCCCCCCCCCCCCCCCTCCCTCCCCATCGCCGAGCGCCGCAACCGCATCCAGCGGAAGAGGCGGCCCAGGCGGCGTGCCGCGGCGCACTGCAGCGCCGACCAGACCGAAACCGCGGCGCACTGCAGCGCCGACCAGACCGAAACCGCGGCGCACTGCAGCGCCGACCAGACCGCAACCATGCTGCTGTGCGGAATCTGCGATGCCCTACTGATAACGGGAAACTCGGCGTGCGGCTGCTTTAAGCCGCGTTCGCGTGCGGTGAGCCCCGTCACCAAATCCAATGGGGAAAATGATGGTAGTGGCGCCACCACGCACTGCTATCCCCCCCCCCCCCAGGCCATACCACGCGGCTACAACCGCCACTGACCACCGCCACATCCCCTCCTGACCTCCACCGGACCCCAACCCGCACGGGATCCACCGCTGACCTGCGCCAGATCCCCTCATGACATCCACCAAACCCCTGCACGGGATCCACCGCTGACCTGCGCCAGATCCCCTCATGACATCCACCGGGCCCCCCAGCCTGCGCAGGATCCACCGCTGAGCCGCACCAAATCCCCTCGTGACACCCACCGGGCCCCTCCCCCCCAGCCCGCACGGGATCCACCGCTGACCTGCGCCAGATCCCCTCATGACATCCACCAACCCTGCACGGGATCCACCGCTGACCTGCGCCAGATCCCCTCATGACATCCACCAAACCCCTGCACGGGATCCACCGCTGAGCGGCGCCAGATCCCCTCGTGACACCCACCGGACCCCTCCCCCCCCCCCAGCACGCACGGGATCCACCGCTGAGCGGCGCCAGATCCCCTCGTGACATCCACCGGACCCCTGCACGGGGCCCGCCACCGACCTGCGCCAGACACTCTCCTGACCTCCACCGGACCCCCTACCCTGGACCTGCACAGGACCCGCCGCTGACCTGCGCCGGTGCTGCTGAGCGCAGCCAGGCCGTCGCCGGCCGAGCCGGAGGGAATGTAGGCCATCTGTCCGTCGGCCACCTCGCCGGCGCCGGCCGCCGCCGTGAGCAGCGTGGTGCCGCCGCCGCCGCCCGTCGCCAGGCCCTGCTGCACCACCTCGCCGCTGCCGCCCGACGTCGTGTTGATGTGCACCACGCGGTACGTCATGCCTGCTGCGGGGGTGCCGTCGTCAGGGCGAACGTGCCGCACCTCTCCGAGGTGGGACGCGTGGACGTGGGAAGGGTCTCATGGCACAATGACACACTGGCCAAGTGATTTGATGTCTGATAAAATGCCAGCTTTGTCCGTCCTAGCAGCTAAATCAGCTTGAGCGCCCACCCCACTCACAGTCCAGCTGTGATGGGGGTCAAGAGGGCTTGAGCCACCACATGTGCCCACTGATTGTTCCTGACTGAGATGGCCCAAAACAAGTGATGGCGGCAAAGTCAGAAAAAGTCAGATGGTAGGGTGCGCCACACTACTCATAGTAGCAAATTCCAATTTTGCCTGGAATATCAGATCTTACAGCATGAACTCAGGTTTCACATAACAAGCACTGATAACAATAAGCTCACCTATCAGAAATCACACATTCAAAAACATCTGGACTGTATGTACAAATCCCCTTGAACAGAACATTAGGGCTTGTAGCACCTAACACTTCCTACTTGGATGAGCTATGCCCAGGCAAACCAAGGGAGCAAGCAGAGTGCACAAGTACATAACTAATGATGACAAAAATATGAATTTGAAGCAGGAGTATCCAGCATCATGACTCAAACCAACCTACCCTGGTGCACCCATGCAAGAACCACTGACCTGGAGGTGCCCCTCCAGCCTTGAAGTACTGCAGCTGCATGGGACTGTCTGG